GGTGTGGGTGTGGGTTAAGAAAAGAACAACACACCCACACCCACACCCATACCCACACCCACACCCACACCCACACCCACACCCACACCCACACCCACACCCACACCCACACCCATAAAAGCAGAAAATGAATTGGGCCTACAATAGAACTGTATTCTGTATCTAAAATCTAAAACTCTATCGATATCTGTACCATTCACACTCATGACCTTATCATGGATTGCATCGCCACACTCGAGTAACTATATTTGATCGATTGTTTTTTTGTGGTAGTTATTCAGACGGAAACTCTTGATGTTCTTGAGTAAGGAAATAGTCCAGCCGAGTATTGATTTAACAGCTGAAGACGGAAAGTGCCACCATCAATAAACAGAATGAATGGGACAAGATAGTCAAGCCATCGTATTCATAGGATGCGATGTTACCTATACAGACACTTAGATTAGACGGATTACATTCCACTGTTCGTTTTTATCATAATTTTCATTGCTTCAACTACTCTTGGGCTTGAGGCTTGTTGTTTGTTTTCATCTGATTTATCAGTTATTTACTAATAGTCTCTTGCGAATAATCTTCTCCGTTCACTCCTCCTTTTTGACTGCAAACAGATGAGAAATGAATGACCCTTTTTGGTTTCTTTTGATTAAATTTTTTTGTGTGGGTCAGGTCAAATTGACACGATTGAAATGATTGTTTCGACAAAATCACTTTCAATAAAGTTCACATAAAGGCAAATCTCGAACCGTTGAATAGAGGGACGAATAAAAATATTGATGACCAATAAATTCTTGTTGGCATTGTCCGTGAGAGTTGGTCGACGGATTAAATTAGGTTTTAGCGCAACATTTTGGGTAGATAAGTTTTCTCAACCAATATTTGTACCAGGTTTTTGATCAGCACTGTTCAAAAAGAGAGAGATACTGTTTCCGGCATGACTGGTCATGTATCTCAAGGAGAGACCTGGTTTGGCACCTTATAGAGGCGTGTAGCAACAGAAGACTTGATTTAAAGATAAACTATCGAATCAGCAGTTTCAATCATATCGAATTGTTTTCTTTGGAAAGTGTTCAGATCAGCATAATAGAAGAAATCTTTTGTGAATAGCAAAAAGGAGGAGGTATTTTATTTTCTTACTAGAAACGCATACAGAAATAAATTGAAAAAAGATAGTTGCAGCACTTCTAAGAACACAAAAACATACGATGTGACAGAAAAACAGAGAAAAAGAAGAGGTCTTTCATTGAGATTCTGTATCACTACCAATTTCGTTGACATTTTGCTTTAGAGAAATGCTAAAGGGCATAAATATAGGTATCTCTTCAATGGTTACAAGATAATCAGCTTCCACCTCGTCTGGCGTTAATATCGGAATTGATTCTTTATCCTCTAAAGGACCTAGACAAGTCAATTGCAATAAGAGGGATCGAAGGTGCTCGTCTAGAGACTTGTCTGATTTCTTTTTCGGCATACACAAGATCTGTTTCGATGAAGGATCATTCAAAACACTTTCCAACAACTCACATACTTCGAACGATGATAAAGTTTGCAAAAGAGCTAGTTTGACAAGCCAATGAGCGGCTAGATATCTTTGAATCATCGAAGGAGATTTTAAATACCAAAATAAAATTTCGACATTGCCTCGATGCTCTATTGATCGAGTGTACCACAAGATTTTCGATTGAATTTCAGTAAAATCATCCAGACATGCTGTAAATATCATGTCGATGAGATCAGGTGTACCTTGACGAATAGTCTCGTACAAAGTAATACATATACTACGTTGTTTAGCAGAACTTTTCTTGCTCACTTGATAGAGTGCTGTTAAAAAATTTTCCTGACCAAAAGCACTTACACATATTGCTCGGCACAATACTGCAGACTGTTTGTTTAAAAATAACCACTGTACAATTTGTAGGAAACATGGACGCGGTTCGACAAATTCTTTCACTTCCATATCAACAGACAAAAATGTATACAAATCAGACACAAATTGATCAATGAGCTGTGGTAAAAATTGATAAATCAATTCAATCGTTTGCTTCAACCATTGCTTACGCTTCGACAAATCAAACAGATAACTCGTGTTGATCATAAAGTACGAATAGAGATCATGAATGTTCACCTCGAAACGAACTTGCATCTGGTCGAATGTATCCTTTGTAGTGATCACACGAGACAAATAACAAGCAGCTGCACACGAACGTATTTTTTGCGACTTTGATGTATCCTTCCAAAGACTCCAAAGACATTTGTCTAGATTAGGATCGGACTTATATTCTTCGCTTATATCTTGTGTTAATGCCCATAGATGTTCAACAAGAACATCATCCGACATCGACTTTTTGCCATTCAAAACTGGAACGGTTTCATTGGATGAGGGATCACAATGAAACAACATATTCTTCATTAAAGCATCATCATGCTGATGACCATGTAAACTCCACGCATAAATAACTGCTCGTTGTGTAAGAGGTAAATCTGAATCATACAAAAACTGTAAGAAACTAAAAAAGCTCTCCTTTTGCTCCCACTGATGAACATCAAATGTACGAACTAAATGAATTAAAGTAGTGGCAATATATTGATCCGAAAAAGGAATCCGATCGCTCAGCAATACATGTATACGAACTTCGTAGAAAGAAACAGTTGTGTCTAAGAATAGAGAGATCATTTGAAAGAAAGATACATGTGCGAATTCTTCGTTTTTCATTGAAATTCCATGACGTTGCTGTTCTAATTCCAGCAAAGATTTCATCTCGTCAACAGAAGAAATTTTAAACGTTTGCAGGACTCCGTCTAATGAAGTTGCATATAGCTTTTGAAGCAAGGACCACAGTGATGGTGACCAGTTTCTATATGGAATATGACGATTCGAATGGGACCATCGAATGAAACATGCTCGGGCACTACGACGAATTTTATCGGTTGTACTGAAAAGTGATTTCTCGAGAATACTCTCAACAATCTTTTGAATTCTTGATGTCATTTTCTTTTTACTTCGTACAAATAGGAAAACAGCCAAGAAAGCAAATTGACAACGACAGTGATCGTCATAGAATTCTAAAAATTTTTCAAAGTATGGACGATCTTTATTTTCGAAGTCAAAGCAAAATTTAAGATCTCCAAAAGGAATTTCTATTTCTCCGATGAATTCAGATGATAGATTTTCGCAGATAAATATTGTAGCATGATGGGAAAATGTGCCTCTAACAGACGTCCACAATCTCTTGAATTGTTCCTTTAACAAAGGATTTACGGAAGTATCTGGTAATTCTCCCAAGCTGGCTATTTCTTGAGCATCTACTGCTAATTCAGCAAGATACATTTGTGAGATCAAAGGAACGGCATGCTTACCATCAAGCGAAGCTTGTGAGCGAAAATACTGCGTAAAGATCAAGGAATTCATCTGGAGGATATCGGGTAAACCTGTCCTCCAGATGAATGTATCAGGACAATAGCCCGAATTTCTTCGCCATATCGACTTAATTGCTCGAAAAACCGTTTCTTGATCCTGAATCTCGCTCTCATCTTTTGGTATACGAAGGAAGCTTAATTGGATATTATTCCATAAGTGTTGCATTGGTCCATGTATCTGTCCTCTTGCTCCAACAAATGAAACGAGAACAAACGCAGCGAAAAGACTGGGCAAATCGTCTGGAAGATTCCTCACCTCGTGAAATAATGTCTTCATGACTTCATGCAAATGCTCCTTCTCAAGCCACCGACGAGCAAATAGACCGAGATATTGAAATGAAAGTACTCGTAGGATTGGATCATTAATCCCTTTCGCTGCCTTTTTGGCATCTTCGAAGAGTTCATTTGTCTTCGGTATTAATACACTGAGATAAGCAAATGTAATCGACACAGAAAACATTCGAAGATCAGTTCTTCTTTGATCAGCATGACTCAAGATGTCCAACATTCGATGCTGCTCTTTCTCTAACTCTTTTTCTACGGAACTGCTTAGCTTAACGTGCACAAAATCATATAGAAACGCAGGCACAAAAATTGAACTCATTTTTTCTTTTGCTATCTGTAGAAGTGCTATTGAGACACTATCCATATTATATTCGCCAATCTGTTGATTCAGTACAAAAAGAAGAAGAACGGAGCGGAGTAGGGGCACTCCAGGAGAAGATGCCATTGTAAGATTGTCGTATACAGATAAGAAGACCTTGTTTAAAAGTACTACAAATGGCAGAGTTCCGATACTGTATGTATTCATATCTCGACTAAGGCGATTCGTCACAATAAGCCTTTCAAATAGAGGCTGCAATGGTTCAGGAACGAATGAGACTAAAAAGAATGGCTGCTTCTGCAATAGAAGATATATATGATTTTCTGTTGACCACTTTTCTATATCTTCTTGTTTGTCTCGAATGCAAAGTTCTCCAACCAATCGTAAAAATCGAGACGAATAGCATTCACTATTTTGGAGCAAAAGTGGTAAAGATATAGGTGCGATGTCTCTTGTCAGTGGCGTTGTTAGCCGAGTGTGTGCTGTCGCAATAGCAATCGCCAGTGATTCAAGATTTTTTGAATTGGTTCCAAGACTTAGAAGGTTTTCAAAAATAGTGCTAGCATATTCGATCGATGGATGGTCTTCATCATTACTCGCACTGAATTGTTCCATGACCGATGAATACGAACGGCGCATATGATATAGATTGAGTTTCAACCAATAGAGTGCACGAGGAAGTGCTTTATAGTTCTTCAGATATCGATAAGAACCAATTTGTTCAACACCTCGCATACAAATGAGTACAACAAAGGCATCGACAACTTGTCGCGAGACATCGTTTGTAGACGCATTAAGAATTATTTCCTCACACTCATGAATGAGAAATGGTGTACCCGCAAGAGGATCATCCAGAAACTGTATACACGAGAAATATGAAAGCAAAACATCCGCAAGTGGTGTTGATCGACGCAATGTCATTGGATTAAATTGTATTTGGATATGAGAACCTTGTCTCGCTAGACGAAAATCACCACAAAGAGCTATAACAACTGAGAAAAACAAAGGATGCATGCTATCGGCAGTTAGATTAAATTTCAAAAAAATGTCCGTAAGCATATCCTTAGCATATATATCTACAGGTTTATCTGTAGAAAATATCTTGCGTAAAGCGAAATCAGCAAGAATCTCCATATCTTTCTCTATTTCGTTCGTTGACTCAATAGCCCAAAGTATAGAAACGGATAACCAATCTGGCAAGTTCCAGTCTTTCCAATCGAGATAAATCGAATTGAACACTAGTCGACAAACAAGTTCGACGTATATCGATTGTTGCAAAAGCTCCATGATCAAATTAGAAGGGAGTGACATTTCACTGAAGCCTCGCTGGAGATATCCTAAGAACAACTTATCATACTTCAGAAGAAGAAGCAGTCGATCGAAAACAGCTAATTGCAATGGACGAGAAAGTTCGCCGAGCTGAGTGGTCAAAAAGAGAAGTCCTATCGGCATTGATCCAATGTGTTTATCCATGAGTATTGTAAAAAAAGCATCCGAGTCCACTGTTGTCCATTTCCATCGGAGCCATTGAATGGCTAGAACGATCGGTTCGTAATAGTTAGGCTTCATAATATGAGTGACAAAGCGATCTGCCATGAACGAAGGTGAGATGTACATTGTCTTATCAGCTCTATGTTGAACGAGAGTTAGCGCAACAAAATATTCCTGAAATGTGCGATGAACAAAACCGTATGCGTCTAATCCGCGCGCAGCCACAAAGCCCACATTCGAATTCAACAAGCTCACAAATTCATCAATTTGCATTTTCATCAAAGCCTTAGAATTAGAAACATTTTCTCGCGTACGAAAAGAATGCAGTGCTAATTTACTCAACTGAGTCAAATCAAATTCGTCAATCACGCCCGAAGGACAATTATTGTGCAGATAAATAGCAAGATCATATAGAATCCATCGAAGAGTTTCATAGTCCAAGTGAGATGTGTGTGGTGATAACAATGCATTTAGCACGCCTTCCACTGTTATCTCGTAGAGAGCGATGCGGTGCGTCGCTTGTATGTGATGTGTCTCATTGTAAAAAATCGGAAACGCCAAGGCAAACAGCATCGGATGAGACCACACCTTTTCTCCCACGCAATCAAACATCTCCTTCACTTCTTTTTCCTTTTCTGTTCTAACTACTTGTAGCTTTTCTTGATTGAATGAACTATCAATCTGATTGATTGAGTTGACCCATTGAAGACAATTTTGATGAATATGAGTCAACCAATGATCAAGAACAAATTGAAATTCTGTTCGATTCATCGGCTGGAGAATCCAATGAGAGAATTGCTGACCTCTTAATGGGAATAGATGATAGCCAATAATACGAGATGTTACAATAACCTGATTTCCATCGCGATCTTGAGGCTTTTCACTAGAGAGCCCTCCATCATGCAAAGTCGCCTCATGGTCATCGACACAAATAAAGCTCGATGATCGAATATTTTCATTTACAAATCTTTGAATAAATTCTACAACTTTTTGTCGCTGGCGATTATCAGACAACTCATCGAGACCATCGAAAAGGACGAGTGCATTTCCGTGATGAATAAATTCTCTCACGATTTGGGCATTTTCACTAGTCACGTAAGCATGTCCGAACCATGTATGCCGACCAATATAGTCGAGCACTGTCGAAAAGGGGTTTAACTCTAACCATGCGGATAGTTCGTCTACTCGTATTAAAATAGGCAGCCGCATTATGAGAGCATGTATGTGCAATTGGTTATCGGTTTCCTCGTTTTTCTCGTTCATAGACGATTCTTCCCATTGATATAAAACCTCTGCATGCAGTCTTGTCAACGAGCGTAGACACGTAGTCTTTCCACTGCCTGGATCCCCAAGAACTACTGACCAACGATAGTTATAAGGAATGGAAACTATACTATTTTCCGAAGTCAATCGCTTCAAGAAAGGATCGGTAGTCGATGGTATAAAAGGTTTCTGCTCTATTTCTTCTCTTGAGTGTGGAACAGTAGAGTCTGCACGAAGTACACATCTTCGAGCTCTCCTAGAGATCGATGCTTCAAGGGGCATCTCTATCTTGGTCAAGTTATTTTTGGCAGATGTACTGCTAGTAGTTAATTTTTCCAAAACTTCTGCATTGTCCAGTGTGCTTTTCAGGAGCTGAAATAGATTCTCATCTGAAAGACCTCGTACAAGCTCACTTGAATGAAGAGAAATACACTTTTGAAGATAGTCTGTGACAAAAACACGATGTTTTTCGCACAACTCACGCAAACTTTTCCGTACACCATGGATTGATTCGTGTTCTTGCTTTCTTCGCTCCAAATCATCACGCATGTATTCCACGGCTAACAGTCTCTGTCTCATATCTTGGAATGCTAGCGCAGATTGATCGATCAAAATGGAGCCGCCATCATCTGTTTCTAAATGTGTGAAGTATGGACGAGATAGATCATTTCCGATATTTAATGCATTTGAATCATCAAGATTCGTCTGATCATTCATAAGCCAGGTCAATCGTTGTAAAAAGAATTCAGCCGACTCATTGCGAGCAGCACATGATGGTTGATATTTGAGTATTCTCTCTAGTCGTTCCAGTTGTCTTTTCATGTTTTGATGAAAATCATCAGAAGAAGTATCCATACCTTGTTGTACAAAGAAGCTTTTGTAACGCAAAAGGTTTTTGAGAATGGTATCCATTTGATTAATTGTTTCGTAAAATAAAAGTATAGGATCTGTGAGGAAAATGTTCGAGAGCTGTTCTTCGTGTAGAAACACTAAATTAACCGAATTTAGATTATTCAAATTTGATTTTACGTCGTGGATAAACTGCTTTTAATATATAAAAGTAATTTTTCGTCGATGCAAACAACCGAGCACATAAATTGTTTACGATTCTAAGATAGTTTTGTTGTGTTATAGAAGCACTTTCAATGCCCTCTCCACTTAACTAGAAGCAGCGTGAAAAGTTCTACAATTTACAAAGAATAGCCTATTTTATATATGAGCCATTCCATATAAGCCACGATCGATCTACCAGAGACCTGCTCAATCGATGTCGTCAGCTTTTTCTCAATATAAGATATGTTATAGAGGGAAGTATTCTAAGAATTTTGACGCAAGCCGATTCAAAAAATATTGAACCCTCGGTTTTTTATGAGCATTTTATGAAAAGGCCTAAAAATGACCCTATATAGAAATGGGAATCCTAATGCAACGATATTTCACGAATGGCTTAATCGAATGAGCTGAAATTTTTTAATGCCATACATCTTAGTGAATTCTATTTACCATAAAATTTTCGCTGTAAAATATTGAGCCATTGGGATTTTATGAAGCAC